CAGAGTATTATACTGGTAATTATAATATATATAGTCATACATTTTTATAAACAAACATGAGTTAAAGTTTTAATAAGAAGTGGTTTGTAGTGGATTATTAAAAACTTTCTAATATAACGTATTTCCAAAATATCGGTACGTACCTCATTTTGAAGCTGGTATTTAGTGTCTTCTGGTATACGAGGTATAAGTGCTTGAATGAGGTGTCTTGAAATCAATATCTTTGTATTATCATCATCATAACAGTATTTGTTGCTTATTTAAATGGTATGCTTATTATATCTCGCCTTCTGTCAGTGCAAGGATCGTGCGCCATCGCTGGTTGGTTCCGCATGGAGTTCAGTGAGCGTCAGCCACAAATTAATTCTTCATTCATGAATATTTCCCAACAATTTACGTTCTGCAGTATAATAGACTATTTTAAATGTACACGTTGAAGTGTGAGATATATTGCCATATTATACTGCAGAACGTAATTAAGAAGAAAAAGTCATCATTCGATAAAATGTACGTTTACGACCAATTTTAATATCTGCGCATAAAATATTTTTCGTGTTGTTTATGCGATAATTGTCGCAGAACGCGTTACGCTTTGGCGATTTCTTGTTCGAATACATAAAAGAGGAAAGGCGAAATGGAATACTTATTGATCAAGACAGGAAAAAAAAAATGCGATATTTCAGGTTATCGCAGCGCCGAGTAAATGATACTCTCTTCTGGAATGTTGTGCCGTTTAGCCTGGTAGAAGTTGACCGACGTTTCAGAGGTCCTTATCGCCTTCATTTTCAGGGTGATAACCGTTCATGATAGGGGCAAGTGGCGGGCTCTTGTGATACGATAATAAAAGATGCGGAATTTCTTGATCAGTTGAGCGACCGGCATTAAATAACCACATACATCGAGGAATATTTAGTTAAAAGAGTTTATAGATAGCGCAGCCATGAAACTTCCTCGTCATATTAATCGGTCCAATTTGACAGAAACAGCGCCTCGCACGTAAGCCTGAGTTTGCGTCTATAAATAATCAATATAACGGGACTTCCCCTAAATCTGAGTCAACTATAATTTCTTAAATAGACGATTCTTCCAGTAATTAATATTTCTGGGCCTTCTTCGAGGTAAAAACCTCATATTTAGGAATGCTTTGAGCGTAATATGCGATATTTATAAAAACAAAAACAGCTCAAACCCGATGACCCGGAAGTCACGGTGCAAGCATATGCTTCTTCAGTCTGTATGTTTCTTCAGTGCACGAAATGTCCAGGTAGAAAACGCGCATAATAGTATTTGAGTGTGATGTGAGCGGCTGGCGCGCGCTAGCTAATATGCCTTGTCTAATATATTACTATTACCCAGCAGGATGTCTCGAGCCGTGAAGACTTAAGCTGAGGTCCATTGTTCAAGTTACCTGCGCATCATCACAAGGGGTAGAAAGAAGCAAGTTTTATTATGACGGCTCCACAACAGTTTTCCTGCAACTAACAAGCCATTAGTTCCGTGTGGTCCGACATATTGCCTCATTCACACACAGGACGATTTTGAATGCCACCTCACCAACTGCGTTTCATAGACTCGTCGTAATAAAAATGGCAACCAATACAAAAAGGATCCTTGAAACAGCAAACTAGGAAATTGTTCGAGTCTCAGTTAGTGACAAAGATAACAACTGCCTTCAATATCTGTCGTCTTCTGGTTGCAGACGGGATGTTCCTTAATGTAGGGAGTCCTGTAGCGCGTAGAAACATTTAATTACTCCACATTAAAACTCAGGTGGCGCACCTAATATTCGAAAGAATGAGTTAATAGTTGAAGTTCGCCTACGTGGACATCTTCCTCCTTTTAGTTAGTGACATTTGTGTTTGATGATAATACCTTCCTTCGGAAGTTACAGCTATTATAACGATTTTCCAAATCACTACGTAAAATTCTTTACCATTTTATTATTTTTTCCTCTGCAGAATGAGTTAAAATTACGCACTAGCTGCCACATTCAGACAAATATTAAACAATTCTATATTTTTTGAAGACACAGAACAATATAACATTTTTAAGGATCCTGTGTTAAACGATGCTTGTGTCGCCCCCATTTCAGAAGTTCGCACAGTCGCCATATTGGTATTACTGACAGTGGGAAATGGAAAGATTTATATGATTTTTGGAGGCTTCATAGCTTCAAAATTATATTTAATGAAAAGATGTGAAATGGTTTAAAAGTTATTGGGCAAGAGGGACACACAGAGCCTTGATGATGATTTTTTAACCTAGATTTCATGACGAAGTAAGGAAATTATGCTAAAACCAAGTAACGGACAGATATGAAGCACCGATACATTTAAATACATTCTGTTCCCTGCGCAATTATACTTACAGTTACAAAGTAAGATAAAATTCGTGCCTTCATCTTATCTCAGGCCCATCTTTACATAAGTATGAGTGGCATTCTTCATAGTTCGTACAACCAGCATAATTTTCAATACATCTATGTCAGAATCAGTGCAACTAAAATGTCAGATTCACACTCGAAATTTATGCTACGACAATGGGTTTGCTTAAAACTGACGGCAAGCAGATATAAGGTCCTAAGCTGAAAATCGGAGAAAATAAATTTGATAATTTTTCAGTGAAGTGCAAACGTCTGAGTTGTGACACTAAACAGACGTGGAAGATTCTATAAATTAGATAAGATAAATATTTGTAAATGCGGTTAACTACTGGTTAAGAACTGTTTTATAGATTGTAAAATAACTTGGCGGACGCTCAAAATTTGCTCCTAGTTTCCGGTCTGATTACAATCAACGAACCACTGAACTTAGGTATCAGAAACGTTTTAAGCAGATCATAAACATAGCTACAAATTCGATACGCCAGCAATTACAAACATGGCTACAATTTTAATAACCGAGGCAACATCTCATAAATGTAACGTAATGGGAATGTGTACTGCTAGAAATAATGCACAGAATGGATCACAATATTTTATCGCTACTAATTTGCCGATTTTGCTATGCTGATCATATAATTGTATCATTTGAATTAAAACGGTCGTCAATATATATTCCCTGTTTGTTCTTTGCCATACGTCTCCTTACGCCGATGCTAAGCCTAGCTGCTACAGGACGACGTGTGTGTGCGGGCACGTATGCCCTTCATTACCCACTTATTTAATTTCTCAGGTCTAAATATTATGCTTATGAGAAGCAATTTCACTGTGGTCGATTAGTTCAAGCCTAAAACCGTCCATACACGACTTCACGGGTATATTGACACAATAGCATAAGTCCGGGCAGGTAAAACATTTTCATATTGCTTTTTAACAGTTTTTTGTGTTAAAAATAAAGGATCTATTCTATCTCGGTTCTAAAGATATTTCTTCCTTTTTTGTGTCTGAAAAGCTTTAACATGGCATGGTTATTCATCTACATGATACCACCGAGTTAACCTTAGCGGGGGGTTTTCCAGTTTAATGGCGTTATTTATGTGAGTTCCTGCCAGGCGGGGTCAGGGGTCGCCTTCTATCGTGGCTGTAACACATGGATTACTACCGTGTCGAATACCTTCTTCTCCATCCTAAGTTCACTTTACGATGCCCTGAAAGGAGCATAATGTCTCATCTGCTTGTTTTAATACTGTTTACAGAGTGACGAAACACGAGTTAAAGCGACACAACAGAATCCTAAGTGCTCATATTAAAGCACTTTTATAATGTTACTGCTCATCATTAAGTAAAATGTAAATTTTCCAGTATAACTGATAAAGCATCACGTAATAAACACGTATGGAGGTACGAAGAAATAACTGTAAGTATTCTTAATCTCTGTATAAGATGAAGGTGGGTAGGTAGCTTCACGTTCCAGCCGCTTTAGCACTGGAAAATATCCATTGCTGTTGATGAACGAAAAAGCTGAGTTGGGCTGGACATGGTGACGAGAATCGAACCCCTGGTCGTCCAGCGCAATCACGAATCAGAAAATACATTAACAGATTAGAAAGTATTAACGTATTTGTTCCTCAGATTAAGACTTTCCTTGGTAAAAGTGAAGTGTAATAAAAGTTGAATATAGATTCACTGGTGTTATTAATATCATTTAACAATAAACTATAACGTTCTGCTATAATTTTCGTGGTGACGGTGGTTATCAAATGATTTAAGCTCTCTGATACAAGGTAAATTTTTAGGATATTACACTAAATGATGCTGATGAACTGCCTTCATATCGGGGTGAAGAGTAAAGCAAGTACATAGCTAAGTGGTCAGCTGTACAACATGGCGATGATGCGAAATTATCAGTTTACGTCTGACTTGAAATCTATAGATTTACTATAGGAACATTTAAAGAAGTATTCTTATATTGGCTTACAGACTGTGACTTATAAAAGATATGGCATAAATTCTAGGCTCGGTTCTACACAACAAAACAACGAAAACAAGTTGATACGAACATGGGTACGGGTGTTGTACAGTACGTACCATAAGCAATCCAACAACAGTCAACTAATGCTTTCGCCTATAAATGACTTTAATACTTTTAAAAATTACCACGTCCACCAACACAAGATTTGTATTTTAAGAGCGACATTCTCTATACTCACAAGAGTATCATAAAAATACAAATTTCTTTATTTCAGTGTAATTTGTTAAAACGGACAGTTTCGCTAGCCACAAAAAAACGTATAACTGTTTTGAATTGCATTGAAGCATATAAATAACTGTAAGATACGTTACATGTTTCCTGAGAAATTCTTTCTTGATAAATTGAGTTGCCTTTGATAAATTTAATATTAATTTTAAATCTACGCCCTACAAAATCATAATTCCAATTTTCATAATTTCCGGCGACAAGTAAGAATCACCTTTTCTTTTGAAATAAAGTGTAATTCAGTTTGAAGCTCGCTGTATTAGCTTTACACACCTTATTCGAATGATCTCATTGTTTTTGTTCATAAAAGTCCATTTGCATAAATGCATCGAATGCAATTTTGAATATATGTATATTACTTACAGAATCACATAGGAGCAGCGCATTTCAAGAGCAGACAGCTGTTCTTTATGCTCTTCTCGCATTAGTAGCTCATTTGTATGCTTTATCTGGGCAATACAAAAGAAAAACAAACTAATATTAGATTCTCATATAAAAATACTAATAAATAAGGCAACACACCACCCTCTGAGATGAACCAGCAGAAGAAATCATGAACACGGATTCAAAAAAGATGGCATCGTACAATAAAAGGGCCCAGTAAATGTGCCGTCGTGAGCCAGTGTTTTATTCAAGACACCAGTCTCGAATTTTGAGCAGAAAATTCTAAAACCTTTTTTTGTAGAATAATAATAACTCCATAGACGACAGTCCTTCTCGATAAGCTGATATTAGCTTAGGCCGGAAGCGTTAAAACCATGTTCAGATGAGTCAGACACTAGACTGTGATGATCCAACCGATACAACCACTACAATGCTGTGAGGTTATCTGGCGGCTGTGCCGCGGTAACCGACGCATAGCGAGAAGGCCGTGGCGTACCATAAGGACAGCCTAATATCCTCATTGTATCATACTACCATATAATCCTACGCTTCCCAAGTGGTATCGTCCTTTCAGATTCTAATAATGTAACAGGAATAATAGTTCATTATATGAGCGCAGTATTAGCAGTTAATTGTCTGAACTAGGAGAAACAGCGGAATGACAAGCTTTCACAAAGCTTGAAGCACCGAGACTAGTTCAAGGTGTAATTCAAATTAACAAAATTAAGTCTCTAGAGTGGGACCGTTGTGCTACGCTCCCCGAGCGTGAAGAGGTTAAGAGCTCATCTGCCGACCGACCCAGCGAAGCATCGCTGTCTTCAGCACCAAGACCACAACGCAGTCTTCGGGAGAGAAATGAAAATGAAGAAGTGCGTGTCTTTCGTGCTTCTTCTATCAGTCAGTATGATCTCAGGTGTGGACACAGGAACTGAAGATGGAAATACATTAATGGCGAATCATCTTGATGAACTGTTAAGTCTGAGTGAACTGCCGATGAAGAAACTGTTACACGTGAAACGGACATTCGTAGATCCTGCACCAGAAGGTAGGTTTGCAAGACTCGTACATTTTATTTATTAGCAAGACTCTCTGTACTAGAAATCCAGAATTCTATAGGCTTTAATAATGTTCGTAATATATATTCTAAGTACGAAAAGCATTTTTTTTTGTATGAATGTTATTTTATTTAACTGTTTCGAAAAGATAATTTGAAGGTTCAAATCCAGCTCAAAGGATGAGTGTTTGTCCATGTTCTCCTGAACTGTCTTAACGTAAAAAATAATTAAAGTGTCCAACCACAAAATCATGCCAGTTCTTTGAATGCTTTAGAACAGCTGTTCAATACAGCGGGCAGAGATTTTGCTGGGTACCAATATAATAAACTGATTTAAATTAAGTTCATGCAAACATCACCATCGCCTCCTTAACACAGTGGTAGTGCGCTGGTGTCGTAAAACAGAGGTCGTGAGTTCAAACCTCACAGGAGGCGACGTGTATTATTTTATTCCAGTGTAACATATCGGTTGAAAGTCTAAGAAAAATAAAATTTCAAATATAAATTTGCGGATACTTTAATTAAATATGGATATAACACAGGAGTACAATTCATACACAATGAGAATTTCGGCAACATTTCAGAATACTTCTTAGTATGAAAAGCAATCCGCTTATGTTTTCAAAAAACGTACTTCATTCGTTCGGTATGTCTGTCTGTGCCCCATAATAACTTTTCAACTAGTGGACGGATTTTCGTAGAGGATAATACAAAAGCTTGAATAAATAACCAACTTTTGTCATGGTATTAAGATGGCTTTCTTCTGGAATTTTTAGCTATGTTGTCTTCTAGATACTGATCCATGCCTAATATATACACACATATGTATTTATTATGATGATAAAGGAATTTGCAGCTGAAAATCATTTCGAGAAGTTGGAACCGAGTAAGCTTTAGTAAGGCAAAGCCATGCGCTTGTCTGGTCTTTATTTAATAAACGACGCTGTCACTAACTCAGAATATACGTCAAATGAGGTGGTTAATGAATTAAAAAGTATGTGGAAGGAAGCAGTGGTGGTCTATTTTAAGGGACCATTCTGGTATTTGCCCAGAGAAAATGAGAAAAAACCACGACCAGTCTCTGTCAGGGTAGTCGGTCTCCGGGTACAGATTTTAATCCAGGGCGTACTTAATAATAATGAAATTATTATGAATGTTGGAATATCTAGCAAGTATTCCACTCAGTGCAAAGAACTTATGGTAATGTAAGATTTGAGGTTTTCACAGCGGTGAGTATGAAGATTTCTGTCTTCTGGGTTGTTGCGCTGTGTAATCTGGTAGATGTTTACCAACTTTACAGAGGTCATACTGCCTCCGTCATCAGGGCGATGACGGAGGCAGTATGACTTCTGAAAAGTTGGTAAACATCTACAAGATTACACAGCGCAACAACCTAGAAGACAGAAATCTTCAACTTATGGTAATTTTAAAAAGAAAAATATTTTATTGCCAGGATTTTTCCCGCGAAGAGGTAATTTCGAAAGAGACTCGTCCGATTGAAACGTAAGAAAAATTATTATGCACTTCTGCTTTAGCAGCACAAGGCCTCCAATGCAGACATTTGATTAAGGTATGTGATGCCTTGTAGTCTTGCAGTAACTTGACAGCGGTTCGGGGACGATGCGTTTCTCCCATAAGACTACAAAGCGTCATAATCTAGAAAACCATGATCGACATTTGCACATTTGAGACCTCATATATATGACTCGTCTGTCTTGTTTCAGATATTGCAAGTAATGACTCCGAGGAGAAAGAAACTTCCTCATCAGACAGTCGGGGAAACTCGACGCCGCAAGCCCACGCACTTGTGGGTGGCGGTGGCCAGACTAAAAGAGTAAATCCTCTGACGTACAATGGGGGACTGGGACGTGTGAGGACGCCCCTTCGTCGTGGCGGGGGATTTGTGTATGGTGGTCTGGACCTGCATGGGAAGAAGAAAGGAAAAAAGGGCAGTATCTCCAGTATCTTCCAGACGTCTGTTACCGCACTTGCTTTTCTTGCCTTCGGTGGATACGTCATGTGCCTCATAGTGCAGGCCATACGGGCGAAAAACAATGGGCTGGCTATGATGAACGGAGCTGCGTTGCACGGGAACCTCTCCCGGTTCGTGTTCCTCGGACGCCGTCCAGGATATGGCAAACGTCGCAAACGAGACTCAACAGAAGAAACTAAAGCTGGCGGGAACTTGAAAGAATCCTCTGAAGGCCCAGAAGAAATCGAATTCAATGACATGGAGACGGGAGACCACAGCGACGAAGCAACGTTAGAGACGAGTGAGGATGATAAATCCGGGACAGATGACATGCAGCATACAAATGCATTTTATGGAGATGGAATGGATCTTGGGCACTGGCCCCTGGCGAATGCAGATGATATGTACAGGGCTCTGGTGATGATATCAGAGGGTTATTCGCTTTATCATCAGACACTTCATAATGTCTATGGAAATAGAGACTAATTAACTAAATCCACGGAGCAGTCTTTCTTGAGACGCTGACAGTCGCTACGCTGGTAAATAATTCCTCGCACTCTATGGAATCCGAAGATCTATTACCGTGTTGACAAGATCTTGTCTGTGGTCCATATTGGTACAAATAAAATTTAAACTGTCGTATTATCCATAGTGACATCACCCTTTTAATATGAATATTTACCGAACGTTACGGTCATATTTATGCCTTAAAATCCTGTTTATAGGAGATCCCAGGTTCGTTCGTCAATTCGGCAGCCTAATATTCTGACTGAGATTTTTTAACATTATTTTATTATCTCTCTGTAAATGCTGGTATACCGTAAAATAGGCCTCAATCGCTTCTTTTCACTACATGACATACACAGTTGTAATGTGTCGTTAAATAACGCAAGCATCAATATATTTACTGACGTCCGAATGGTATATGAAAAGTGTTTCCGTCGGCTGTACTAAGTCTCAAACCAGGAACAGTAATCACATTTGTAATTTTCCCTAAAGAGTTCACAAAGGTTTTTTCACTCCAATTCCTTGCACCTCGGAGTACTGTACGCTTGGCATCTGCCACGTACATACAAATTAATATGACGACAACGCCCTTCGTGTCCCATCCAGTCGTAAAAGAATTAAAGCAACAAGGAACCCTCATACAGCGGAAACATTCACCACGGTTATCTGCTTCTGAGTTTGTTTTTAGTTGACAGGCCATGGATGACGCTTGAAGTTCTTCAACTGTCTCTGACAAACACAGTTCATACCATCTACAATTTCGAATCAAGCATCTCACTGACACCAGTTGTTAACTTCTTTTATCTTCCAGTGAGCAAATTTTAAGTGTAAACACACATTCTACATAACAATTCTAGGAACAAGTATTTTAAAACACGTTATTGTGTGATATTTATAACTCTTGTAATACAGTTTATAACGATGGCAGCGAACCCATGGTTTCTATTGTTTATCACAAGCTACACGTTACAGTTAAACTGTTTTGCAGTTAGAATCAAATCAAACGGCGACTCAGAAGATTTTTTGTGGACCCAAGATCGTCAAACGAGAAGTCTTCTGGATACAGGAGGTAACATAATTTACGTTACAGATATATAAAATTATTCATAAACATTTAAAGTGACAATATTTGTTAATTTTTCTTGTTACTTAAGAAACCAATAACCCATTTACAGTAGTTTAAGACTGCTCAAACACTGAATCCCTGAGGGGCTCAATGTCCGTGTATTTCTGAATTGTGGTGTACACCTCTCGATGGGCTAAAACCTCTTTCAAGAAGCCTTTTAAATATTTAGTTATTTTAATAATTAATTCTGAACCGAACATGTACATAAACTACACCTGAAGACAAATATAGGCTAAGAATAAATAGTAAATAAATTCCATGTTACTGAGTCTTCCTTAAAAAGTAAATGTATAAGCAAAAGGTGCAATTATCCTTGTGTATAGTAAAATACCATAAAATAAAGCCGTATAGGAGGAGTGGAGGTATAACTCCGCGCAGTCGTAACCTGAGTAACCGAGGTGAGTGACTACCTTCAAGCTCCGGAAACTTTATCCCCGAAGAAAAAGCGATAGGTACTCGGTACATAAGAGGTTGGATGGGAGAAGAAAGAAAATCCTGTCTCTGGCAAGATTCAAACCCAAGTCATATAGCACTTAATTTGACACTTATTTGAGTGAGCTATCATAGGTATTATAAATAAGTAAAATATTAAATAAATATTGTTAGTGATTAATGAAATAATTTGTCCGATGTTTAAAAATAACTTGACTTTCTCACGACTGTAATATTTTCTGCTACCACAAACACTTCAAGCCATATCCACCGCATGACACTATAAAAATAAAGTGTGTGTTACCGGAAGTACAACGAGGTTAATGTTTACTAATCCACTGCTAGTGTTTATTTTCTGCATAAACTCTTAACTTATAAACTTACAACTTCAAAGTTAGACATTTTCTAGTAAATTACTTGAATTTCCTCAATAATTTGTTTATATGAGTACATTTTATAATCATTTCTTTCTGTTTCGCTGTTAGGTGTACGTAAATTAACAAATCCGTTCCATGGAGCAGAGTCCTTGAGAAGCTAAAAGTATGCTCAACAAATAAAAAATCCTCATAACACGGAACTTAAAGATTATGCCACTGGTTCCTGACCAACGTGCAGACACAACATTAATCTTAATAAACTAGGCATGAGGGTGTGAACTGGATTCAACTGTCTCAGATTCGAGGCACGAGGTGGGATCTGTCAAACACAAGAACGATCCTTCAGGTCCATAAAAGACGGGCTAATTCTCGACTAGATGAGCGACTATTATCTTCTCAAGATGACTGTGCTCCAGGGATTTGGTTTAAGCGATATTTAGTTATCACCACAATTCGTGTATACCAACGCAGCTGTGGTGACCAAATTTCGCGAAGGCCTTGACATGGCGGGGAAGTTCCTGGGGCTAAATACTGCGCAGGGAGTGGCAAACCTGGTGAGCTCCAGTCTGCTCAAGGCACGGCCCCAGTGGCTCAGGGAAGGATCAGACACCAGCTTCGAACACGGACTGTTCTCAGGTTTCTTTCGCCTCCTGGGACTTGACTCTACCAAGCTGGGGGCCATTGCCCTCAATGCCATCATATTCATTGCACAACTCGTGAGTAACCGAGAGAAATACCAACAAGTTTAAGTGGGACCCCGAGGAAAACTACCATGTTTAAATAAACATTAAACTAAAGGGGATTGGGGTATCTTCAACCAGTATAATGCCTATGGACCGGACGACCGAGTTCGAACGTCGGCAGGAGGCATAGGATCTTTCTTCTATTCTCTGCGCGCAGCCCAGCTCTGAGAACTACCCTGCAACCTCCTATCCAATGGGTACCAGAGGTCCTTTCCCGGTCAGCGCGGTCGGAAGTGACGCTGACCTTTTAGTGTCGATGTCAAGATTGAGTAGTAGTTAACTCCTCCTCGGCCATTTGCCTTCACAATGCTTTGGTTTCTGATTTTAAGCTACACTCAGTCTATTGGGATTGCAGGTTTAATTTGATATTAAAATCACCTTAAATATTAAAAAATTAATAAGGCATATGTACCAAAAAGTCATTTTATATAATTTTAAATTTAAGAAGTAATAGAAAATGTTGGAAAAGCCTAAAACTTAGATGGACGCACGGAATTGAACCTCAGAATGGCTATAAATCTATATTACGGCTTCGATAAACTACTTCCAGTAACGTTAGGTAGTGTGTTACAGTGACAACACGTAATGCTTTTGGTTATTCGTTCCGCAGATCAGCAATTCACTGATCCAGAAATCATCCCAGACTGCCTCAGGGCGCTCATCCTATAATGAAGAACTCGAAGGTTCGCCAGTGTCATGGATACTGGACAACCCAACAGTGCAGGTATGCTGTGCGTTACGTGATCCTTTAGGCCTAAAAGCTATGCCAGCTCATACAGCCGCTCCGCAAGTTATAAATTTCCTAATTATTAACCGTTAAGGAGGCAGATTGAAAACACGTTTGTCCCATTTCCAATAATTTCATAATTTTAAAAATCACTTGCGCAGAAAATGTGTCATACATTTGCATGCGTGTCTATGACATCACCATATATTTAATAACTTCAACCAAATTCGTAATTTATCGTCATGAAACTAAAACATTTCGAAACACATATATCTGCGGACAGATTTTAATGTTGGTTCGTTCTGTTCAAACAAAACCACAGACCTTCATACGAGGCCTCAAATCGAATTATCGTAGAAAGGACTTCATGTAGCACTTACGGCGGTAAGATACAGCAACGAAAAGTCCACATAAAGAGAAATTATTTCAGAGGTATATTCCATAGACCTATAAGACAGGTGTATATCAAGGACACATTTAAAATCACTTCGTTTCGGATGTTGGTTCTACTTCCGTCTTCAGGTGAAAGAAAGACAAAAGCTTAATCTAATGGGCTTCCCAGTCGAGTTAGTCTGTAACCTGAATCAAGCCTGAGATTAGCTCCACCATAGTGTTTTATTAGTACTCTACGTTAATTTGCTCGCCATAAAACATGGTACAAATGTTCACGTGTGATCTACTCTCTATAAATACCCAAAACTATTCGAATTCACGGTTCGCCTGATGTTTAGGCAACTTATCGTGATGCACAGTTCACCGGGATACAGATATGGAAAGACAGGAGAAAGAATGGTACTACTTGAGACTGCCAAGAGATGGCATCACTCTGTAAAAACTTATGATCACCGTTAGACTGCAAATGACGATGACGATTATAATAATGACAATACGTCTTAAGGTATGCTTTCAGAGATCCTTGCTGCTTCCATCATCAGGGACCCGATGATGGAAGCAGCAAGGACGTCTGAAACGTCGGTAAACTTCTACCAGACTACTCAACAACCCGGAAAACACCTAAACTCTGTTCTTTCTTGTCTCCAAGCTCAGAGATCTTCTAAACAGAGCCCAGGACCAAGAACTGGCCGACGAAGTTATCAGAATAATCCAGGAGCGGTACACGGATGAAGAGACTGGATGCATCCAGGTTCTGGTGTGCAAGAGCTCCCCTTTCGTACGAGGGATGCAAAAAGCAGTACGCGCGTTGCTGAACAACGAAGAAGACACGAAAGGGTGGAGTCGCCTCACACCCATACAGCGGATGTACAGCGACCTGCCCACGATGCAGGAAGTCATTGAGAACGGGGACCAATGCGAGGATCGCTTTCCAGTCTGCCAGATCCTGCCGCCAGAACCTTGATCCACATCAGCGCATAAAACTTCACGGATGTATTCTTCGTGAGAAGCCAATAGTCGCTAAGCTGGTCAGAAAATCCACCGCCTTTTATGGTATCTGAAGATTCAATACTGTGTTCATTCAAGGGTAATCCTGGGCGGTGGTCCAGTGATATTTCCATCACCATAACCTATAATATTATTGTAGTCTCTTTTTAATTCTCGACTGGTTCTTAAATTAATTGACACTGGTTCAGCTACAGATGTTACACTGTCGAATGATTCAGGACGACAATGACGTTCAGCAAATATGTCTTAGGCTATTTAACGATTCTAATTCAACTAAAGAGATTATATAACATTAAATGAGACGAGAAAATAAACATGAAATATATTAACCAGCTGAATAATTATAAAAAAGATCCAAGGAAGCAGCTGTACCATTGAGTTGTGAATCTCGCCAAACTTCAAGAGAAAGACACGACTCACAGTCCTTAATTATAATTCCTTCGTATTCCTCGTGTGTAAGACGAGCCCTTAAATTAGTAATGTAATTTTTTAAAAACGTGTATTACAACAATAATTGTTAAATTCAAACATGAAACTTCTTTGCATTAATAATTTCAAAATCTTATTTGTTGCTATCTCTGTGTTTACTGCCCCGTGACTAGTTTTATGGACATAAAGATTTTGTTTGCGCCTTAGTAACAAAAATTTTCGACATCGATTCTTAACAAATCTTAAAACGTTATGTAAGTTCCTATTAAAATCAAGGAAATATTTTTACAGTTAGAAACTCAATGTTTTGCAACTAATTTCCACGTACTGAGCCTGCAGGTAGCACGGCACATGGTAGTGTGCTACAGAAACAATTTTAACAAGTAGTCACTGACTTTCGATTAGCAGTTAATAAATACAGCCAACAATAACGGTCAATTCTCAACTCATCCGCATTCCTGACCCATCTGAGACAGTAATAGAAAAGTAACATTGCTAATCAATACCGAGAGAAGATTTAAATGTTGAAGTTAGGTTTTCAAGCATTCTTTCCAAATGTTGTAGCCACTTTTTATATTTCTATTGTATTAGGATCCATAATCTCTAGTTATTATCTAACCTTTCATTACGTTTATGAGTTGTTATTCGGAGCCTTTGTAGAAAACATGATGATATGTTATGAGAAACCGGGAATAATTATCTTAATAATATTTCGTAAAGGGATAAAATTATAAAGCTCTTTATTCAATTTCCTCAATCGTGTTACTTCGTTCTTATATCCCCCAACGCAATTTCTTTCCAGGATGTAAGAGACCAATTTTCACATCCACACAAAACTGCGTGTAACGTTATACTTTGTACATTTTGAATTTTGACATTCCTTTTTCTGCACTTAATGACAACACGCATTGGTCTTAATTCGTAAGATCTGAAGCTCTCAGGGCGATCGAATGGAATTAAGTCTTAGTCTTAAGAAATATATTGTACAGCAAAGCACACTTACTAACCAATATGTAACTGTATCATTCATTCATTAATATTTAATGCATTGACGTAGAGATAAAGCAAAGTGACCCAGAAAACGGTGAATAATAAACGTTCCTAAGAAAAGTATCATTGGAATTCGGTGAGAAGTGCTTAAGTCAATACAGGTTACATTCCACTTAAGCCCTCTTACCGAACATAAATTGGCTAACAATATTAAATGTTTAAATTAATATATTAGTGATGCAGGTAAGGGTGATTTTTATTTATTTTAAAGCCAAAATTTGTTTCGTTGTTCAATCTTTTAGCGTTGAATAAATATTTAAATTTCAAACAATAACATTCTTTTATGGCCTCCCTGTATTACGTATTGTTTCATTAATATTTTTCTTTCCTGAAGAAATGCCATCTCCTCAAAGAGGGCTCTGATCCATGGAATACTTGGTTCAAACTGAATTTTGCATTTTCTTACAAGCACATTTATCTTTCCTGAGCAGTCATCACCTTCTCCAGAAGAAATATACTTCAAGGGTAACAAATATCACAGCGATACAAACGGACAGAGAACCATGCAATCCACGACAGGTATAATTCAATGGAGAATAAGTACAAACTGGGTCCTGCAAGCGAACTTTTAACAAGCGAGAAAATTACTTAGGGTCATTACATTCTAACTTCCCGCAGAGTACCTCTGCTTGCCTGACTATGGAGCTGGTAGTTGTTTAACGGGATCCTTTGACGAAAGAGGTTGATACAGAGGAGGGGGGGACGATACATAGTTGTACGTATGTAGATTTCCGTTACACATAAGCATACATTTACCAGCCCTGTAATGTTTTCAGCTTTGTCTGTCGTTCTAAGTTTACGGCACGATATAAAGTGAGTGGTACAGAACCGTCAAAGAAATACGATTAAGTTAGTGACCTTGGCTTATAGTCTGATATATTCTAGGTTAATGATACAACTGTGTAACAAATTAATATAAATTCTATGTACAGACTATTGCGATTGGGGGGAAATTATAAATGAGTGTATTTTCGTCGGAAAATTTGAAGGAAAGAAAATTTTGATATAGGAGGAAAATAATAAAATGGACGTTAAATGAATACAGTGTGAGGTTATGGACTGGATTCATATAACAGGATATGAACCAGTGACGGGTTCTTTTGTAACGGAATAATGAACTTCGAGTTTCTTAAAACTAAACCCCGAAATACTGAGTCCACTGCAAGGGCAGCTTAAACGACAATATTAATGGAAAGTTTCGCTTTTTACGCGTTTAATGTATGACGTAAATAAACGGATCACGTTCGCGTATCCGACCGCTTGTCCACATATTTAAACGAGAAAGCCGATGGACGAATTTTGATGCAATTCGATATTACAATTCCTCATAACAAGCTGTAAATATTCACGCAGATCGACAGCGGAAGAGTTCAGGCCTACTTTCATAAGGAAGTACCAGCATAGCATTATGTCTATTAGAAGAAAAATTTCCACTGAAAGATATTTGTCTCATTAAGACAAAAAACGTTTAGTCTAAAATTAATTGGTTAAGTAAAATACCAATAAATATTTTATATATTGCATTACAATATGTAGAAAGAAAGTAAAGGCCCTGTATTTTAAATATGCCATCCTCTTAAGATGTAGTTTCTGAAAAAATAAATGAAATACTAGAGCAGAAATTTACGTCAGTAACTCTTCAGTGGTACAAACGGCAGAAAGAACATAATCTGTACTGTAATGTGCTAACACCTTAACTATATTAAACATATAGAACCGTATGTAAAGAATATGCATGACCATTTCGGTACAGATTGCAATCTGTAACGAATTCCAATCCCCAATCTTGTTTTTAACGTGAAGGACAGTGCCTAACTAAGTAACTGACAAAGAATACAGTTTATAAATTAACTGGCTAATCACAACGACATTTAACTTTCATATTTACACTATAAACAACACCGAAGACAATACAACAAACTATTTCTCCTCCATTCTTTTCCCAAGTCCTGAATATTTAAAAAGAATGTATGTTGTACGCTTTCTTAATTTCTAAGGCCGTAGGTTTATTTCTAAACAATAGCAATGCAGTACACAGGAACGAAAGTGCTGCTTTAACACGTCATAGTTGTCACCATACACATCTTTTGTACGACTAATATAAGAGAAAACAAACCTGTCGCTTTCATGATATCTCTTTCAATACGACTGAGAAATAAATGTTACATTTAAAAACAGTGCGACAAAGCCAAGTTCTCTATACAATCTGCATGTCTATGCTAACTTCTGTGCTTTAAAATTAAAAGCTTATTTTAATGTAAGAATCTGCATACGACACAAAATAATATATGTAAGCTCATCTTAGAAGTTAATAAATTACAACAAATATAAAATACTAAAAGCAGACTTGTCACACAAATTTTGTTCAAAGCTATAAAGAGGCCTCACCACAGAATACTGAGCGATTAACTAAACAGTCGGGTATTGTAGATGCGTCATATTGTGATTTATAAGTATTAAAAATATATTAAAATTGGCCGTCAATCACAATATAAGATAATTAAAAGATTTAAAATATCATTTTACGTTCCTTATCGAGTACTCGATTTACATGTGGAACATTTACGACATGTTTCGGCTATATATAGCCGTCATCAGGTGTTATATTATAAACTTTTTAACTGAATTACTGATTTTTACTGATATTTAATGATTTTTAGTTTTCATTTTTCATTTTTAGTTTTTTAGTTTTTTTTCATTAAATATCAGTAAAAATCAGTAATTCAGTTAAAAAGTTTATAATATAACACCTGATGACGGCTATATATAGCCGAAACATGTCGTAAATGTTCCACATGTAAATCGAGTACTCGATAAGGAACGTAAAATGATATTTTAATCTTTTAATTATCTTATATTGTGATTGACGGCCAATTTTAATATATTTTTAATTTTTAATAAACAGTCGGGGTTTGTCTCTCGTACACGGTGTTGAAAATACTCTCTGCATTATCACATCCAAAAAGATGCTAGGGCCAACCTACCTCTACTACAGAATCGAGGATGTTCCAATGGTCCTTACACTTTGCCTACAAAAACGGGTACCTTAGTTTTATAAAAGCACAGACAAGAATACCTTAATCGGCATACCTCCAGCTGTACAAATCAAATTATTTCATAACACGTACGTTCAGCGGATACTAATATCTTATAAGTGAGATGTCAATATTGTACTAATAAAATAATAGTCTGATGGCTTAATAAGAAACACAATCATTTTCATTTCCTTAATCAAAGATTATGTACATTGGAAAGTTAACAGCTTGTGGTGTAAGTTAAAAAATGTTTCGTTCTGGTATCAGTATGAAGTCTAAGGAGGTACAGAAAGAGATGCGAAACACATTAGTCAAGTTAACGGATCTGTTGCTGTCAAGCCTTGTAAAGGACACACGAAGAGAATATTCTCCTACCATTTTAACATTATAAACAAACGTGGACACGGGCCAGAAACGAACTTGAATGGAACGAAGCGAGACAAAGTGTGAACGATTTCTGTTCATAACAAAGATACGAATTCTACGGGCAACGGAAGTTTTAGGCCATCGTGGATACAGTTCATCGCCACCGCTGGTGATGAATTCCATTCAGAGTATTAAAATAAGATTGGTATTTACAAAGAGTGGTTATCAAAACATCAAATATGTGCTGAATGCAGTTTAATAAGGGTTGAGTCTTCCTGGCAAAACTCGCGTACATAAGGAAGATTTCGTTAGAACCAATAATTGTATCAGTTTTTATGATCTCTGAACCTAACCTAAAAATACATAAGATTTTGTTAATTCATTTCTTCTCTGTCTACTTACACATTTAACACTTTGAAACTGAAGCTCGTCTAAGTAATATTTACGAATTTGGTCCGTACAGCAAAGAAACCACTCTTCACCATTATAAAGATCAACTTATAAATTCTGTTTTAGAAAATAATCCCTGTTTACACTGAGAATCATACGAAGTTACCACTGGAACATTAAAGGGTTAAATAGTCTAAATTAGTTATGTTATGTCATAAACTCTATAGAGGTAAACAAATATCACAAAAAATGTAAGCAATATACCAACAAAAGCTATGGTTCTCAGTGGCCCACAACTGAAATCGTATTTGAAACCATTTTTAAAACAGTCTGTCTTATTCGATTCAAGTTAGTGTCTTACATCGTTTGGTGCTAACAAAGGTAAGTACACAGTTTTTGAGTAGGTGAATCATGTTTTCTCCCCTCTTCACAACGATGAACATTAAAATGTGTGTTTCGTTCAAGGAAACAGAAAGGTTCATAATCTGACCCACAAACCTGGGACACAATTACATTTTCTACACATCGCATGGGAAAGCTCTATGTATTGTCGTGTATTCCCTGCTTGAATTTACTTCGAAGGTTCCACGTTTTTTTATATATTTTCTATGACACTAAAATTCGTTAATTGTCTCGGATTTGGCCCTAATTTGTTTTGGAAAACTTCGATCTTTACGTTGAAACAATTCAGATTTATACCAACCACAAGACAGTGCATTTTAAATACTAACAGATATGCAGCCTGTTTCAGTAATTACGACTCAGCAATTAGTTACTGACAACAGACATATGACAGTAACAGAAAAATTCATATAAAAATAAGTGTAATAAAGAAAACAATTTATAATTTACTAATTTTATATTGATTTATTCTCAGTACAGTGGTTAAAAGCGAGCAGTAACTTATATATACCACAAACTTTAATATCCAAGCAGTATCAATTTGCCCACAGAATGTATTTATAATCTTCGTAGGATTCTAGAACAAGTAGCAACCATTTTCTTATACAAAATTAATCAACCGATCTTCGAAATGAAGACGCATTGTTTTCTTTCAATTACGAACAGAGTTTTTAAATATCATTTACATGGACTCCGAGATCCCTTATTGGCTTAACACAGTCAGATGTTGATTTTCGATGTTGCAGTTCAATGTTTTATATAAGAAACGGACTTGAAATAAACATGTAACCCGCAGAGCTACATAATTTCCTTTCCATTGTTGTTATTAGAAGCCAGGACAGGCGAGTTAGTTTACCGTCTTGCCTACAGGCTGAACAATAGAATAATCAAAACAAATTCATGTTATACAAAAGGTCTCTAAAACGAATTCAGACAAGAATAAACAAATCTGGTTTACGGACTTCGCTTCATAACATTATTGGATCTTTCTACATATGGGCATTACCTACCATAAGTCTGACCATGAGAGTTGGTCATGGCACACTTCACACGCTTCTAACAATGAATCTGAAACACTAACAGATTCTTACAACCTGAGAACTCCATGATGACACAGAAAAACGATAGAAATTATCTAATTTTAACCACTATTTGGTCTAGTAAGCAACATCCAGAGACGAAAACAAATTAATGTAATTATTTCTTAGAATGCACCTAATAACAAGAGAGTTAATTTAACGCAGCAATGAGAACAGAAGTCTTTGGGTTATATCCCAACGTTGTCTTTCCCATTCTAGCTACATGCCCAGCCCACCTTATCCTCAATAATATAAATATCCTAACAGTATCGTGCAAGTCTTAGTAAGAGTAAAAACAAACCATTGTGTTGCAGGGCTAAGGGTTTACAGAAATAACAATTCTAGTATAATATGTATGCTGTATTGAAGGCTTTTTCAACCATCTTCTACATTACGCGACGTCTCTCGATAAATGGGTCACGCCATGTGTTTTGTGAGGATGTGCTCAAAATAACAAAGTCACAATTTATGCTCAATCTTCAAGAGCGTTATTTTACTTAGATGTTTGCGTATCCTGAACCAATTTAGAAGCACGACCAACAATGTACTTTTACACAGATGTATTAAGCCATATATAAAATCAAGTTGGAATTTTAGTATTTGCTCGCACAAAGACTTATACAAAATAATTATGTTTTTACAAGTCATCTTTCACAAGAACAAATAATGCTTTTTCGTTTGTTTGTTTCTTAATTGTAGGATACGTGAGAGAAATTAATACTGAAATATTAAGATAAGGGACAAATATACAAAATCATCTGTTACCCAAAAAATTTCAAACGACCTTCTCCACTGGTTAGGAATTAATACGGTATTCTAGCCAGCTCGACTGAATCGCAAGACATTTAACGACGTGTTAAGTTGAGACATTCGAATTCAAACTATTACAAAGGATTATGTAAGATGCGTTAATGGCCTATTTCAAAATACAATCCCAACTTTCATCAGGAAATTATAACGGAAACGACGAGGATGATAATCGATTACCCAACAGGTATTCAAACTCAGGTCTTCAAGAAGACAGGTCAGACGCGTTACCACTGAGCTAGCCCGCTAAATAGGCATAACCGTTAGCACTCGACCATATGGCTAGTATGTTAATAATATGCAACTGAAAACGTACCGTAAGATAAACACGTGACAATAAAACCTCTAAGTTGAAGTCAAAAGTGCAGGAAGGACTTTTCTGAAACAAAAGAAACAATGGCTTTGATTTGTCTGCGTGTGTACAAGAAAATTACTACAATCACTATAATCCTCATAGGAGCTAATCAGCTGGAAAGGGTTGTCCATTTTCTGCTATAAATATAGGAAGTTCAGGCACTCACCACCCAGATGGAAGAACCTTCTGCACAAACAACCACTATTTGCATTTAACTCTTGAAAACGGTCCAGTAACTTCGAGATGCTCTGTGTATAGCAAAGTAATTAACAGGACGTTTATAAATGAATAGCACTGTTAAAATTCACTGGTTAGAAGTCGAGCAAGTAACGGTGATTGACAGCTTGTCACTTTAGAGAGAGAGAGAGAGAGAGAGA